AAAACAAGGCATAGCAAGACAAAGCGACAAAAGAATACAACGATGACAAAAAAAAAACCAATGACCCAGAAAAGAATACATTTTTAAAAAGAGAAAAATAATAAAACATTTTTTAAAAAGAAAGAAAAACATGTAAATAGATCATGGTCTGATTTTTGACCTCTAGGCGTGTCCTCCAGTCAAGTCTGATGGGGTAACACGCTCTGGCCCCAAAGTCTATCCTTTGCTCTCCCATTTAAGACATTTTCAATTCCTCTGAGGCTGGAAGGTTATTACTATTTGGATAATTCCTTCTCATTCTTGATTGATTGATTGGCTTCTTTTATGAGAGCCTTGGTGGCTGTGTCAATCTGGGTAGACTAGAGAAACAAATCCATAGACATTCACATCTATGTAAGAAAGAACTTTATATACAATAACAATTGAATATTGAGAATTCATCCCAGCCCAGTCCAGATAAAGTCCATAAGTACGATATTAGCCCATATATCCAATAACAGTCAATAAAGTCCTCTTCATACACACGAAACACATGCATTGACACCAAATGCAGGAAGATCACAGGCCAGTGGGTGGGAAGTGTGGATCCAGCGGCACTGTAAGCATCTCAGCACTGGCAGGGGTCTCCATGTGATTCCTTTGACTGCCTCAGGGTAGCTTCATGTGACTTCTCAGAAATGTCTCACAGTGAGTGAGAAGAGAGCGAAGGAGAGCGTCTCCCACCTTCAGGGAGGAATTACAGAAGTTCCCGGGATCCTCAAGAGAAGGCCATGTCCACACAAAGGCCTCATTGTCTATATCCCAATTGACAGACTAGACTCTACCCCTATACTCTTAATCCTCACACTGACACCAGATTATGTAATTACCACAGTGTCACAGTGGGTTATCTATCCATTGGGTTGCTAAGTGAAAGACCAGCAGTACAAGCACACCAACTGCTCTGTGGGCAAATGGGAAGGCATTCTGTTTGGGTAAAGATTTACAGCCTCGGCCACCCTATGTTGTAATCCTGTTATATCCTGTAGGATTGATATGAATCAGAATCAACTTGCCAGCAATGAATTTGGATTTGTACTGGAGCCTTTTATAAAAGCATGGGAAAAGGCTAGTTTGCTAATCTATTAATCTCTTTTTGGTCCCTCAGTGTCAAATATATATCTATGTCTGTCTGTCTGTCTGTCTATCTATCTAGCTATCTATCTAGCTATCTAATCTATCTGTTTATCCACACACACATATATGCAGCTGGTTCTGCTAAAGAAAAGAGAACTATTCTGGTAAATTTCCTATATTGTAAGAGCTACCGTATATACATGAGTGTAAACTGACCGAAATGTCAACCGAGGCACCTAATTTTACCACAAAAACTGCATTAAAATGTGCTGAAAAACTCGGCTTATACACGAGTATATACGGTACATTTTAAATTTGTTGGTTTGAAGATCATGCTAGTTAAGCTTCTAGGTTTTTAAAATAACATTAATTTCTGATTTTATATTAAGACTACCGGTACTTATCCATGAGATATATAAAACGTAGACCTCTTTGGGCATTTTCTTAAAGCGCATTGTTCACCAGTGAAATGCTTTTTTATTCAAAAGCAACTGCTTTAGAAACAAGAAATTTAATTTTTAAATATTTCTCATTTCTACTTGGATCTAATATTAATCACAGCTCTCTTGATTATTGTTAGAAATAGTCATGTAGCGGGGAAAAAGAGAAGGCTTTTACTCCTGTGAAGAGTTTTACAATCGGGAACTCAGAGGGTGCAGTTCAACCCTGTCCTACATAAAGATCGCAGTGAGTCAGCATCGACTCGATGGCATTGAGTAGTAATCACATGTAGGTGAAGGAATTGTGCATGTACACATGCTCATGTAGGTATAGACTCATAACTGATTATTAAAACATTTACCCAATATGTAGTAGGACAAAATTTCTTATCTATAAGGATGCTGTAGTTGTTATTTATAAATAATACCTTGTTTTGTTAAGAAAGTAGTCTGATTTTACATGTGATTATGTGTTTATGGATGAAAGAAAATTATATTTTAAAGAAAATTTGTCTTCCTGTGATTCTTTAGCTTAATTCACAGAATCAGTAGAATAAATTGTTCCAGTTATATGCTTTTTGAGACAAACTCATCATCAGTTGATGCCGACTCATAGTGGCCCTGCATGACAGGGTAGAACTGCTGCCCTGTGATTTTCTGAGACTGCAACTCTTCGAGAGGAGAGAAAGACTGTTTTTCTTCCATGGAGTGGCTCGTGGTTTCCGACTGCTGGCCTTGCTGTTAGCAGCCCATTGTGTAATTACCACGCCACCAGGGCTCCTTCCTGAAACATGTGTATTTAAATTAAGTAACCTGTTTGTCCAAACTTAGGAATTTATGTTCCAATTTTAATCTAGTTGATTTATAACTACTTTTTTCTTTTCGATAATATACAGATGTGAAAACCACCATGAAAAGCTTAGTGTATTTTGCTGGACCTGTAAGAAGTGTATCTGCCATCAGTGTGCACTTTGGGGAGGAATGGTGAGCAGAACAAATTCAGCATTTTTTTTTTTTTTTTACTTAGAGAGTAGAAAGCCTTGGAAAAACCTATGTGTGTACATACACATACATACATATATAAAAGATTTTATTTTTGTTGTTGGACATATGCTCTGAAATTTCTACAGGTGCAGGTCCAGTTCAGTGATGCGGATTATATTCTTTCATTCTCACCCTCCTTTCCTGAATTTTGTTCCTCCCCAGTAGCATGAACTCACCGCCCCCTTTGTTTCCTATGTTATAGTTTGGGTTGCACTTGTCAATTTAATCTCATATAACTAGATCTTAAAAGAGCACCTTACTCAACACAGAGGCATTTTTCACAAGAAATCTTCACAAGTAAACTTTTGTTTGGTTTAAAGAAGACTGGGCATTAATTCTGGTTTAAGGTTCGGAAATTATTTTGATGAAATCTTTTTAAAATTTATATAGGAAATAGAATAATTTATTTTGCTCTGTGTAATAAAAATTCAATATGTGTTTTTAGATGCTTTATGTTAAAGGTATCACACTTGTTATTCCCTAAGATTCTCTTTGGGAAGAGGTTGGGGTAGGTTGTTCACGCCTTAAATAAAAATACTTATCAAAATAGATTTTAAAATTATTTCATTAGGGGCACATACAACTCTTATCACAATCCATACATACATCAATTGTGTATAGCACATTTGCCCATTCATTGCCCTCATCATTCTCAAAACATTTGCTCTCCACGTAAGCCCCCTGGCATCAGCTCTTCATTTTCCCCCTCCCTCCCCGATCTCCCCTCCCTCATGAACCCTTGATAATTTATAAATTATTATTGTGTCATATCTTGCCCTGTCCAACGTCTCCCTTCACCCACTTTTCTGTGATCCGTCCCCCAGGGAAGAGATTAAATGTAGATCCTTATAATCAGTTTCCCCTTTCCACCCCACCTTCCCTTCACCATCCTGGCATCGCTTCGCTCACCACTGGTCCTGAAGGGATCATCCACCGCTGGATTACCTGTGTTTCCAGTTCCTATCTGTGCCAGTGTACATCCTCTGGTCTAGCCAGATTTGTAAGGTAGAATTGGGATCATGATAGTTGCGGGGGAGGAAGCATTCAGGAACTAGAGGAAAGTTGTGTCATCATTGCTACACTGCACCTTGACTGGCTCCTTTCCTCCCTGCGACCCTTCCATAAGGGGATGTCCATTTGTCTACAGATGGGCATTGGTTCTTCACTCTGCACTCCCCCTCATTCACAATGATATGATTTTTTGACCTGATCCCTTTGACACCTCGTGATCACACAGGCTGGTGTGCTTCTTCCATGTGGGCTTTGTTGCTTCTGAGCTAGATG